TACAGTATTCAGGCAATTTGCACTAATGTTTTTGACCTACCTACTTGCAGTTTCTTTAATTCCAATGGACTCTTCATCTGAAAACTGACAATCCTCCTTCCTACTCTTTTTCCCAATGGACATCAAGGACAGCTGTTTACTTTCATTGAAATGATTATACTGTGATCCAGAACATCATTATTTTACCCTGTAGTGAGATAGTTCTGTGGCACTGACCACGCCAATTTGGGGTGGAGCCATGGGTGGAGTGACCTGTGGAAGGAGGTCTATTTGTTTATCCTGATCCTTATTTTACCGCGTTATTACCCTTTACATTAATTGAGGAATAATTCCTTGTTGGTGGAAGAGGAAGCTGTCCCAGCCTTTACAGGACACTGGACAGCATCCATGGCCTCTACACATCTATGTCATGCTATCCCTATTCAGTTATAAATAAACTCTAGTCACTACCTAATATCTTCTTGGAGTCATATCTCCAAAATATTGGGACCTACTCCTATCAACTTATGTTCAAGGACTTCCATAAATTGTTTCCTCCAATTTTCCAAGTGCTTTTTGTAATCATCCCAAAACCCTTTCTGGCTGACTCAGTCAGTCCAGACTTACTTACACATTTGCTCTGCCAAATTCAACGTGCCTTTCTTCTCCTATTCTTCCACTTCATCATGTTAATTCATAAATGCTCTTCCATAACAGCAGAATATTTTTATGATTATTTTCCTATTATGTGACCACTGCATTTTGTTGACAGTTTTCTTCCAACCATTCTTCATGATGTTGCTTTCCCTGCATAAGGCTGAGACTCAGGCACTCCTCATTTTGACCTGGTTGATATTCTTCCTCCACGGGACTGTGTACTTTGTGTTTGATGACAATGACATTTACCATCCATGTTACACATCTACATCTCCATAATGAACTTCCCCCTGAACCTTGAAGTAATTTTCCCAACAAACAGCAAAATATTCTAGAAGAATTTACAGACTCCACAAAGTCAATAAGTCCCCAAATATTCATTCACTTATCTAACTTACTTTCTTAGTGATTTTCGTAAATAAATTTCTTTGTGGCTTATTTATATACTCAAATGTAACCTTAAAATCACTCATACTTGTTATGCAAACTGCCTTCAGATGTCCCCTCCCTTCTCTTCTCCATTGCTCCAAACTAGCCCCAGCCCATTCTATTGAGGATCTGGTATCCTTTTCACAAGTCTATCTTTGGTTAGCTTTATTTTTCTTTTTTCCTTCAAAACTACAGATGACTCATTCACCTTTATCAGCTTCCCATTGCCTACTTTCCAAACTCTACAGTGTATATATATAAAACAAACACAACCAGAATGCTCCTAGCATTCTATCCTGCTTTCTTCTATATGCATCCAGCCTTCCAAGCACAACCCACTCATCATTCACTGAGATAAACTTTGTGTCTCTTCGTCAAGCTCCTGTCAGAAAATAAGCTATTTTAGGTATTTCAACAGGGAAATATTATTTAAAGAAATGGGATAAGAAGTATTGAAAAACTAAAAATGAGAACATGACACCAAAGTAGCTCTTGGACAGTAACTGCTTGTGCAGTTAGTAGCTATCACTCAGGGGTTGAGAAATTACAACAAAGAAGGCTTTCCAGAAACTAATAGTGTAGATGAGAGACTTTATCTACCTCAGAACTACATCTCTGGAAAGGAATGATGCTTGCCTATACCTGCAGTGGTCCCTTGGAGATATGCTACCTGGGTGGTGCAGGAATCTCCAAGGCTCAGTGAGGAGCTGGTTCTGAGTAAAGATTAGAAAGGGCAAACTGAGACGAAGACCCATTGCTGGGCAGTACTCTTAAGACAAGCCATTAAGTAGGAAGACAGAAATATCTTTACATCCCTCCTCCCTTCTCTGTTCCCTGAGATCCATAGTTGGTGGAATCCAGCAGATGATCTGTAAGGTTTTTACTGTAAAATCAGAGAGATGAATCAGTGTTCAAAGATAATTTCTTAATAGCCTGCATGGCCCCTTTATATCTCTTTGTTTTAACTCACACAGTATCTCCATTTACAAGGTTCTTTGACCAGTATCTGCCTTGTGGGCACCTTTGTTCAAATACAACTACTTTTCTATAATTTTTTCTAATCTCCAAAATATGAACAACATCATTTGTGTTCGCCTAACACTTTGGAAATAGTTACTTTGTGGCCTTTTTATACCGTGTCTGAATATCTCTGATTGTGTTCAGTGATTTTTCCACCAAATTGTGAGCTCCTTTATGGCAGTTAGTGATAACCACAAAACATAGCAGGATGCTAGGCACAGGCAAATGACTGAGGCATATGAAACTAATAACAATGTTTTAATGAAATCAGTACTAGATCGCTTCTAGAATATATTTCATCTCCCTAAGTAAAGTAGAATTCTATGAGAACAGAGACCATATTTTGTATTTATTTTTATTGTCTCCATGGTGTTTAGTACAAGATTTTACATGCTGAATAAGAAGTCATTGATACTTAACCATCTAGTTTGTTCATTAATCAACAGAATTTTTGTACTAAATGACATGAAGATGGAGCATGAGGTTATAAGCATCAGGTAAGAAATGCACTTAGATTTAAATACATTTCTAGCATGTGATTCCAGCCATTAGATGGAACTGTATGCACGATATGGGGGCACCATCAATACCCCAAATGTAACATGCTTTATAGTGAATTCTAAAATAATGAAATGTATGCTAGGTTCCATTTTTTCCTGTTTATATATTACCCAAGATATATGCCCCCAGTCCATGAGATGATTAATCCCAGGCTACATCTGTTCCTTGTGTATTTATTAAATTTCTCACAACCATCCAAATCAACTGGCAGATTATTTACATGTGGGGAAGGTATTGAATTTTAACTTAATCACTGGCTTCTCAGAAAAAAGAAACCTCTGCTCAACAGCTGCTTTACATTCAAGTCCTAGAGGAAGAAAAATAGCTTCGCAAAAAAGAGGGGAGTGATATTTAATTAACTATTGATTTCTTCTCAATTATTCAAGGCAAGCAATTATCGATATTGATGGAACAGATATTTCCCTATGTCTAGTACCCAAATTAAAGGAAATATCCCATTCTGCAATGTGCTGCCTACAACAAGAAATGATCAGAATCTTTAACTTTAAATGGAAATGGTTACTTGTATCTGTTTATTCCATGTTGCCCCAATTAAACAGATATTTCTTGAAGTATAAGCAAAATAAAATCCTAAATACCTTTGTATACTTTCCAAATGGACATTTTTAAAAAGGTCTTTTATCTGTTTTATTCAAGAAGCTAATCACCCTGTGCTTGGGAACCTTGCTTCATAGGTACAGATCTTTTCATGTCAAAATAATGACTGATAAAATAACATAATTTGGGTTCAATATAAGCCTGAAAGGCAGCTTGTATGCTTGATGCTTATAATCCATGTGCTGATATATAATGCTTTGTGTATCAGCATTTCAAACATGAATGATTTACTAGTGCTAATTGCACCAATGTACTATGCACCTGTCTTCTATGTCTCCCTGGAATGTTGAAGACTGTAGTCACACTTGACTGTTTGGGCATTTTATTATTACCTCTGTGAATGCCCAGAGTCATCTCAACCCATTCGTACATAAGAGCATTCATATGCTTATGTGTGTGGACAAAGATCCTCTTCAAGACTACATGAGTATTGAGTATGATTAATGCACAAAGCAAATGCTATCTACTGAGTTACTACTTGGAGGATGGGAATTTGGTAAAAATGCTTTATATTTATTAGCACCATTGTGGTGTGTGTGTGTGTGTGTGTGTGTGTGTGTGTGTGTGTGTGTGTTATGAATATATGTGACATCTTTGGAGAAATTGGGTCATGACATTTTATTTGAATAAAATCTGTTATAATTTATGAAAAGCTCCTTTTTCTGCTCTGTGCCCAGCCCTCTGTCCAGAGTGGTCTATGTGTTAAGTGCTTAAGCAGCATATGTTGCTAAAGCGTTTGTTCTTGGCTCTCTTATTCTTTGTTGTTGTGTTAATTTCCCTGGGTTCTATTTAATATTCTGCTAAATCAGTGAAACCTTGATTATCTAAGAGAATACAAGACATTGAATTAATGAGGATATCGGGATTTTGAAGATATGAGAAATTATTAGAGGTGAAAGTTCTGTGGCAGAGGCTGTGAATGAATTTTAGCCATGAGCTGCTGCTTGATTTTCCAGCCTGCTTCTATTCCTTGATGGATGTAATGAAATTTTGGTAATCAGGGTTTCACCGTTGCATTTATTACTGTTCCCAAATCAAGGTAACCTTGGGCTCTACTTCCCATATTTACAAAGCAATAAAAACCCTAATGGGCTGTCAGGGACAAATGTGACTGCTCTTTCTCACATGCCTCCCATGAAACAAGCTTTCCCTCTTCCCATCTGGCTGTCGTGTCACCTGCCTGGAGCATGCTACTCTCTTCACATCCCAAGCTTGCATTCCCCTGCTTCCTTGTGGCCTCTTTGCATGCACGAAAAGGCTGGAATTGGTGCAGGGACGATGGATGTCCTGACCTTAGAGGTTGTGGGTCATTTTAGCAACACTGCTTTGCATTTTAAAGACCACTCATCTGACTTCAAGGTTCTGCATTCTTGTATCAGGCACTTGTCCTTTAAAAACTAGGAGGTCACTACACGCCCCAGGTACATAAGAATTTCCAAACCAGGAGCATTGCATTACTTAGAATTCGATAGCCTGAACTGGTAAATAACCAAAATTGCAAGGAAAAAAGGGAAAGAAAGAAAAAAAAAATATGTGAAAGGGCTTAATATGAGCAAAACAAAGGCAGCCAAATACATTTGTTTGGAAATTGGAGTCACATGCTTAGTTTATGGAGGGAAGGGGGAACACAAGATCAATAGAGAATTTCTTTTTTAAAGCTGAAAACATGATGTTTCAGATGAACTTAAATTGATTCTGCTTCTCCTCCCCTCTCCGTCCCTCCCCTCGTTCTGCAGCTAATGTCTGCGACAATGAGCTCCTGCACTGCCAGAATGGAGGGACCTGCCACAACAATGTGCGTTGCCTGTGCCCAGCTGCCTATACTGGCATCCTCTGTGAGAAGCTGCGGTGCGAAGAGGCAGGCAGCTGTGGCTCTGACTCCGGCCAGGGAGCACCCCAGCGGGGCTCCCCAGCACTACTGCTGCTGACCCTGCTGCTGGGGACAGCCATTCCCCTGGTGTTATACGGGCCATAGAAGCCCTCCCTAAGGCCTGTGCTGTGGGGAAGCAAACACAACCCAAGCGATTGCTACTAACAGAGAAAACATGCACACCCACTCCAATACAGTGTACAAACGAAGAGGGCCTAACTGAACTAAGCCATATCTCTCAGACCCGGACAGCACATCAGAGTCAAGACTGTTCATCACTGACTCCAGAGGAATTGGCAGCTGTTACTAATATCATTGCAAATCTCATTGCCAGCTGCAGAGCCGATTGCGGATTGGAAAGGCTGTGAGAGCGCCCCCAAAAGGAAAGACAAAAACAAACTGGTCAACCAACCTAAAACAAAACAAAACAAAAAACAAAAAAACATTCGCTACTCTACTGTGGTGCACCCTAGTACCGCTCTGCCCAGTATGTGGACCAACCAAATAGAAGCATTCTTTGCTGTCAGGTGCATTGTGGGTATAAGGAAATCTGTTACAAGCTGCCATATTGGCCTGCTTCAGCTCCCCTCTCCCCCAATCCCTTCCAACCTGTGCTTTAGTGAAAGTTGCTCTGTAACCCTTGTTGGTTGAAAGATTTCTTTGTCTGATGTTAGTGATACACACGTGTAACAGACCCCCCTTCAAAAATGCAAGCCAGTCATACCCCTGTATATTTTAGCAGCACTGAGATCCCAGTGCCAGTTCACACCCACTTCACAAGAGTGGCTAGAGGAAAGAGAAAGTGTATCTATCCTTTTGTATTCAAATGAAGTTATTTTTCTTGAAATACTGTACTATGTAGATTTTTTGTATTATTGACGATTTATGTTACCAGACAATCCTTTAATGTATCTAATTCGAATCAGCAAAGACTGACATTTGAGTTTTGTCCTCTTTGGTTTTGTTTTGTTTCATTGTGCAGAGATTTCTCTGTATGGGCAACGAGCGTGCTGGCATCAAAGAATATCAGTTTACATATATAGCAAGTGTAATAAGATTCCACCAAAGGACATTCTAAATGTTTTCTTGTTGCTTTAACACTGGAAGATTAAAAGAATAAAAATTCCTGCATAAATGATATCAGGAATTTGTATTGCCGTTTCTTAAGATGAAAGGAGCAACTAACTATCAAGCAGTTTCACACTCACACTTCACTGATTTCGCGTGGACTGAACACAGTCAGCTGATGACTTTAGTAGCCCAGGAAGATGGATCGATGGTCGCTAGCTTGGACAACGTCTGCAAAATATGAGACTATTTTCCACCTGGGAAAACATTATAACTTAAAGGACAGAAAGAAATGTCTAAGTGATTGCCAAGATTATGCCAAAGCCTGTTGGCAGAGTACTAAGAGACTTTTATTTTTAAGTCATGCTATTTTCACAGATTTATGGTGATCATGTGACTCTAGGGATGCTGATCTATGTATCCTTCCAAATACAGTGTTTACATGGAGTATCATAAGAGGCCACCTGGGGAACCAGGACAGCAGCAGGGAAATTGAGTGATTAGCAATTTGACTTTGAATATATTCTAAGTATTTAAATGAAATATCAAAATATACAGCAGCAAGTAGACATAACTGCTGTTCCTGAGAATAAAGTCTGTTTCAAGTACTGCCCAAGGTGTAATAAATTCTTCTTTCTGCCTTTTATTAGGCCAATTACTGCATGAGACAGCAAAGGGAGCTGGGCGGTGGGGGGGAACACTGCAAAGTTTTGGAAGGGCTGAAACAGTGTACATTCTATCCCAGCATACTGCCACCCCACAGGTGACAAATGCGTCAGCAGCAGCATCTCTTAGAATCAGAAACAATTATGAGGTTAAGCCAGCAGCTTAAGGACAATGAAGTCCTACGTGACTTGGTGGGACAATAACCTATGACAGTATTAGGTCAGAAGCCTCTTTCCAGGCTGAATTCTTCGCCCTACTGCCAGTCTTTGCTGAACCAAGGGGGGAGGAAATGTCTTCTGATAAATAACCCGAATCAAAACTAGATGAAGGAACAGCATGTCTTATTGGTTTTGTTCCCAGAAAAGCCAATTCAAAGAAGGCAATAAAAGGTAAGCAGGTAATGCCTGTTCTGCCTGCCATCCCACGTCCAAGTCAATTGAATGTTTGTTATTCAAACCAACAACCTCTTTTGATATAAGAAATAGGGAAAGATGGAAATAAATTAGCACTTTGGCTTCTCTCCAGAGTGGCCAACCAGAAATGGCAGATTTACATTAGAAGCATAAATAGAAAATTATAGTTCCAGCTCACCAAAGAATACACATGAAAATTCTGGTAGCATACAGAGTGTGAGATCACTTCTAATGAGGTGGATTTCTTATATTAAGATGGAGTTTAAGTTGTCCTATAGTTTATTAGCACAAACCAAAGGCAGACTCTGTTTGCTCCAGAAACGTGCACTTTATCATTATGCACTCACAGCACTGTCACGATGATCAGGAGTCAGACGCTGCACAATTCTATCCAAGGGATTCCAAAAGCTAATTCTGAAATTTAATGGAGGCCTGACTTCAATCAATTCATCTGCATTTTATTTTTATGAGGCTATCAGAATCTAAATTGATGAGGAATATCTTGCATTCAGTGTGTTTAGATATAGTTCTCTGAATTTCTTGGAGTGATGTGATCTACTTTTAATAAAAATTTACTTTTAGGTATATAACAAATGTAAATGAAATGTTCTTTTTAATCTGGATTCTCAGGTTCTTTAAAAAGTCAATTCTTTTGAAGAAATGTCAGCCTATGGGATTTTCTCTGCTGCTTTCTAGTATTCTTTCAAGTTGGAATATTCTATCTGAGACAGGGCTGAGGGAAATAGGGTGTACTAAGTCATGCCCACATTTGAGGTTCAAGCTTTTGCTTTGTTTCCTATAAGGTTCTTTAAGGTGGGCTAGCCAACTATTATATGACAGAGTTCATCTGTCAATTGTCCTAGAAAGTAGTAACGTCACTCCTACTTTTACACACTATTGATGTGTGTAAAACTCAAAAGGGGGTTGGGAGAGCAAAATGACAGCTATGTATAAAGTGTTGCTGTTCACAGCAAGTTAAGAAATATCTCATACCTACCACAAAGTGAGAATGACTTATCACCCAGCCTAAGGGCCACTTTCACCTGCCTCTAGGTTTGGCCCAGTTATCCACTCTAATTAGATATCCCCACAGGACAGTGTGCTCCTGAAGGCAGGCAGTACAAAGGCAGTGCACTGCCTTGAGAACAGGTTGGAAGAAGATATAAAGTAATTTCTGGCGTGTCCCATTTGCCCTTTGCTGGACCTATGACTTTATTGGAGTCTAAGAATTTTTAAATAGAAACCCTAAAATCAAGTGTTTATTTTCATCTCCTTCACACCTACCATGAATAAAACCTCCATGTTCTGAAGTGGGATGTTAAATTGAAATGGTACTGTACTTCACCTGTTATTTCTTTCTACGCAAAATATCTATTTAACAGTTTCTATGCTCACGGGATTGAACAGGGCACTAGGGAGCATAGGGTTACATGGTATTTTCATAACAGATGGAACTGTGTATATTTAACATTCAGTATGATTTAAAATTTCAGCTTCAGAAATCTGAAAGTGAGTTCTTTCATTACCTCTTTGACTCCCAGCCTTTATAAATAAGGAGGGTATGATATTCACTTAGCCATGACTTGGGACAAGTGAACAACCAGGTTAATAAAGAAAGACTTTTTCAAAAGAAACCCAATGGGAGCTTTTATTACATATAACAATAAAAAGCAAAGCAAATTTGACACATGAGTCTAACTATGAACAATTCTTTGTCTCTGGAAATCAACAATGGATTGTAATTAATGTTATTTATTTGTTCACTTGTTTGTTTCTTATCTATGGATGTTTTGCTCTCATATGTCTGTGCACATGCACACAGGTGCCCCAGAGGTCAGGAGATGGAGTGACATCCCTTAGAACTAGAGTTAGAGATAGTTGTGAGCTGCCATGTGGGTGCTGGGAATTGAACCCAGGTCCTCTGTAAGAGCAACCAGTGCTCTTAACCACTGAGCCTCCTCTCCAGCCTCTCACTGTTGTGTTTAAGAAACAGCAAACACTCATTTTACACAAATTTTCTGAAGGTTCTGAGTATTTCCATATAAAGTGCTTTTTATTTAAACTATAGTTTTACTTTCTTACATTATAAGTAACTTTATTCCCTTTCAGTTACCTAAAATGGATGCCAACAAACTCCTCAAATAAACCACACACAAACACAAGATGATGTCAGAAAAAAATAATAAGCATGCCAATTTCCACAATTGTCCCCAAATAGTCTCTGGAACACAGAGAACTTATGCTCTTCTCAACACCTGGTGTGGTATGACTCACAGGCAACCATCTTCATTAGGCTTCTGCAGAACCAAGGAAAGAAGACCCAGGCATGCCCCTTACATAAGTCACACTATTGCATTTAACTAGAAATGGGAAAATAACATCTGGGAAAGACAAGTTAATATAGACTAATATGCAGTTGCTTGAGGTCTATTACAGAAGAAAAACAGTGCCGCTACTACATTTTTAGAGGGTGTTCTGAAATAATTCCACAAAAAAGACTTAAATAATTTTAAGGGCTGTTTTAAAGCATTTGAACCTTTAGTAACTCCTGGGATCCTACTCCCATCAGCCTGCCTCCGTCACCCAATAGCTGCCTTTAATAGATTGATGAATTAAAATGGAATAGTAACATTTAAAATTAGATAATGTTTTTATTAACTCAAAATGATACATGCTAAAATGGATCATTATTCTACAGAACCCAATTATATTAGCACTAAAGAGTTAGCTAGGTTGGCTGAGGTAAACTGCAGAGGATAAGTAAAAATAACTCCCATTTTCTTGACATAGTCCCATTTTTTTTTTCCAGAGGTGTAATTTTAACCATTATTTAATTAGAATTACAAATTCCACATTGGAAAGAAAAAAAAAAAAAAACCTCACTGGAAAGAGTAAAAAGTAATTACTACATTTCTTACCTCTTTGTGAACAGAAATGGAAATTCATGTATGGCAAGAGTGTGTCAAGTCCCTTAAAGACAGCACATAGAACAGATGTATTGGGATAGCTTGTTGATGGTACCATGGTAGAGCTTGTCTGTTACACAAGGCAGCCATCCTAATCCAATAAAAGAAAGTGACAGAAAAGACATGCCTGAAGTCTTATTAAGAATAGGTGATTTTTTTTTTTTTTTTTTTTTTTTTTTTGTCCCCAGGCAGGTAACATAATGCCATTTTTGTTTGTTTACATTTGCACTCCTAAGGAGGGCTGCTCCTGTTGAGAAACTGGCTTGAGAAACACTGCAAGGAAGCAT